ACCTGTATATATATTACAAAGTGACATCATCACTTGGTACCTGAATTCTGTTTTTAATCAATTTTGTGATTTTTATTTCTTTTTAAAGATTTTTTGATTTCTGATTTTTTTCTGCCAATTTGATTTTGTTTCTAATTTTTGGTCTGATATGAAAACTTTATAAAAATGTTAATATTTGACTAAATTAAAGATCCGACTTTACGTGTGGTGTTTTCACTTCAGTTTCTTTAATTCATAATCAATCACCGTATTTGTTGTTGTTGTGTACTAAAGCCTCAACCATGACCAACTTCGGCAAGGTACGAAACTTTCAATTTTTACAAACATTTTCATCGTAACATTTTAGTTGATATGCATCTTAATGAATTTGTAATTTTTTTTACAATAAAGATATTATTCATTAATTTCACATAGAAAGTTTTAATTTATTAACACAAAGGCTAAAAATGTAGGAAAAATGAATTAATTAAAAATAGTGTAGAAACATATTAAATGATAAATTTTAAAAATTAGTGTGTGAACGCATTTATTGCCAAATAATTGTAAAACCGACACGTATCAGTTACGGTGTGAACATATTTATTACAATACTTATCTTTTAATATATAAGGGATTAGACCATCCACAACACTGGTTGTTAAGGAATCCTTAACGCGTTAACGTAGGGTGATTTGAATAAAAAAATATAAACACAGCTGAAATTGGTAAGGATCAGTCGCTAATTAAGGTGTTTATGGATCAAATCTTTAGTGACGTGGCCTCTGTTTACGTAGGACGTTTATTGTTGTTCTCTGTTTACATGGAACGTTTTCCAAGGAGGAGACTCTTGCATCCATATGAGCGGTCTTTTATTGAGTTGACTCTTGGTGATGGAAAGTACGAGCAGGTATCTCTATTATGCATTCCCTCTAAATTGCATTACTCTGCAGCAGATTCTACAATTGGCTTATCAATTAGGTGTTAGGAAAAGTTGATGCTCTGAGGTAGAAGGTGTTGTATGTTGGAAAGGAGCATGCCTCTCTCTGTGCTAAGGTCCGACTCCTCAATTCTGTCTAGAAGATAATCGTATTTTTCCATGTTAGTTGATCTCATATATGTTGTGAAACGTACTACTGCAACACTAAAAGCGCTACAAGTTTCTTAACAAACCCACTGTTCCATCTTTTTTCTATCATATATCACACTTGAGAGCTTGATAGTCTTAAAAGTGCAAGTGAAAGGGTATATGGAGTTATGTTATGTCTTGTGATGAAGCTTAAGTGACCGTAAACCAGTGGAGAAAGAAGATGAGATCATTGTCATGGTTGTTTCCGACGACCAAATACTGGAGTACGTTGAGAAAATTGCAAAAGGACTTGCTGATGACCCAATAACTAAACTCTGTCAAATCTTAGATTAAACTTCTACATAAGAACCTTTGGACTAACTTCTACACAAGAACCTTTGTAGTCATAGCATCAAACTTTATTTTCCCTAAGGACTCTAAAATAGAGTACACCATTACACTCACTTTTTTGAGTAGAGTTCTTAACTATTCAAAAAAAAAAATTAAAAAAATAATTTAATAATGCTTAAGGAGTCCAATGGTGATTGGAGATGCTCTTAGGGGTGGGTGTAACTTAAACAGGGTAATAGTGGAATAATTTAATTACCAATCCACCGACACGGAGTCTATATATTCCAGAGAGAAAAAAGTGTTGTTAGACTTTCGTTATCTTCTTAAATCGTACGCGCTGAACTCTTTCTCTCGACTCTTTGTATCAGATTAAAAAATTTAGTGTTGGGGATGAATTCACATCCTCCAACAAGGTCCTTTTTTTTTTGTTCAATCCTCCAACAAGGTCCATTAAGACAATGAATTATGCACATTCTACTAGGAAACCCTAGACACTTTTCTATAATAAGGAGTCACCTCCTTCTTAGAAAGTGAGCTTCTCTTTAGTATCTTCTTAGATTGCTCTCTTCTTAGAGCAAGAACACATTTTCCATAGAGATTTTATAGATTTTGATTTACTTTACATTCTTTGTAATGCAATCTTTTATTAATAAAATCTCTTTTGTGTTTCATTTTTTCATTTGATATCTATGAATATTTCTTCTAAACTTACACCACAAATTTATTGTATAAATCCAACAAATGCACCATTTTTGGGTTAAACAGTTGGCGCGCCAGGTAGGGGTCCAACGAGAACTATGTGAAAAGCTTATCAAACCTGGAAAAATCAAGATCTAGTTTTTGACAAAACAAAATAGAAAGAAGCTTTCTCAAGTTCGCGACTTTATCTTGGTGGAGCGGGTAATTGTGATTGGAGCTCGACGGTAACGAAGCTTGATTTTGATTTCGTCAACTAGAAGCTCTCGGGAACAAAGCTGTTTCGTCACAAGCCGAAGACTTGATCTTGCCGACCAAAAAGCTCAAGCCACTAAAAGCTATTGTCGACTAAAGCCTACATCTGTTCTTCCATGTCTTCTCAGACCCAACATATCTCGTAATCGCCACAAGCTTGCATCTCGGGACAACTGGTCATCTTATCTTTTTGTAAAAACACATAGCTGAAGGAAGAAAGCAGAAAACTTGAATCACGAGAACTTCAAAGCTCAATAGCTTGCAGAGATTTCTCAGGTGTTTCGTCGAACACTTGGCGTGCACTAGAGATATCACCTGCCGCTGAGTAAAACTTGAGAAGGGATGACAGAATTTGGGTCACGAGCTTGTCGTCTCGTTCTTTTGCTTGTAGATATTGGACATGAACACTTATCGTTGGATCCTGATAGATTGCAACTAAGGTCAAGACTTGATCTCTGTAACAAAGACAAGAATTTTCTTGCTTAAGATCCACAATCACGACCCCTGCATCAACCCCTGAGTTTCAGACCGAGATTGAAATGATCTTAGTGTATGATTACATGGCCTATGTGACAATGAGAGAGCATCTCTACAAGACTCAGAACTCTCTTCTTCTTTGGAAGCAACGTCTTGAGATATGCACCGGTGCAGCTAGAGGGCTACATTATCTCTACACTGGTGCAAAGCACACCATCATCCACCATTGTAGCTTTTTCTTCAAACTCAAGCTCATTCATGATCTCTACAACAACTCAAAGGTGTAGTTTCAATTTCTCAAAGCTCCGCTCAAGCTGCAAAACAAGAGACACAAAGGTCTCTTCTCGGCAAGAAGGAAAGCAGATGGAACCAAAAACGGTTATACGCTTCTTCAACTCGTCAGCTTGACTTGAGATTGCTGATTCTTGTGCTTGGGAGCCAAGTTAGTCTTGTTCGCTTGCTTCTTCAACATCAACCACTCCCCAAGGAGCCACCTCAGACGTTCGCTTCTGGTTCTTCACGGCAAAGAGCTATTCACATGGAAGAATTTCGTTGTGCTTCGTCTCAGAAACAAGGGACATCTCGTCACAAGCTTGCCGTCTCGGCACGAGCTTGTCGTCTCGTCGTTCCACTTGAAAAGAATGCAACAGAGCTCACAAACTTGTTCTTGGCAGAGCTCATGAGCTTGAGCTCTTGGCTTAATGAGGAAATCTCGTCATGCCTTCATCAGGTTCCTAACTTGCCAATTTCTGTTCATCGGCTTCAAGCAAGCCCTACAAATTCATCCACTTCCATTGAAGTTTGTCTACTCTCCAGCTCTTGCTATGCACTCAGCATCTCCACCGCAAAGATAAGTTCTTTTATTGAATTACCACATGCTTTATTCAATTTTAAATTAGTATCACAATAAACATTGTGGCTTTGGATTAAGCTATTAAAAAACTCTAAGCTGTTCATTCTCGTATGAGATGGATCATGTTATTGCTTTACTATTTCCATTGCTTGCTTATAACTCTAAGCCTATGAGCATTCAGCACAAGCAAGTTCCGTTGCTTTCTTATTGATTATGCAGAACTTGGTTATCACTTTTAATCAATACTGATCTAATCATGATCGTACTTTTTGTGAATCAGAGAGTTGTTAAGCCAAAGAGAAGTCACGTGATGACCTTGGAACAACAATCTGATCCCGGCATCCAGCTTCATTATCGGAAGTCATCACATCTTGTCACTCTTTTGCAAGCTCGCAAAGGAGCCACCAAGATGCTGTTACGAGTTGGGCAGGAACAAGATTCATCCCGCCAATCTCAACTGTCGATTTCATCACTCCATCTACACATGGATCGCAACATCCGCGAAGACATATCTGGCGATTTGATTGCAACGGCTCGTCCATGGTGGTACGTTCATGACGATGTCTATGGCGACTTGTCTTTGGCAGTTAGTCGATTGACACTTCATCCATGGCGACTCGTTCGGGTGGTTCAGAACACTGTCCACACATATCGTTCGCGCAACCATCCCCGGAGTGCAGTCCGATTGGAATCAGAAGTATGTTGATGAAAACTCGCCCAAAGACAGTCCGTCCGTGACACTTCGTTCATGACAACCTAACCATGACAGCCCGTTCATGACAATTCGTCCGCGACATGAGTATGTGCCTAGTTCATTGTCTCATAAACCCTATTCGCAAACTTCGCAGAGATCCATTTCATCTCTCTACGAACTAGGGGACTTACTGTTGGGGGTGGATTCACATCCTCCAACAAGGCCCATTAAGACAATGAATTATGCACATTCTACTAGAAATCCCTAGACACTTTTCAATAATAAGGAGTCACCTCCTTCTTAGAAAGGGGGCTTCTCTTTAGTCTATTCTTAGAGCAAGAACACATTTTCCATAGAGATTTTATAGATTTTGATTTACTTTACACTCTTTGTAATGCAATCTTTTATTAATAAAATCTCTTTTGTGTTCCATTTTTCCATTTGATATCTATGAAGATTTCTTCTAAACCTACACACAAATTTATTGTCTAAATCCAACAAATGCACCATTTTTGGGTTAAACATTGAGGGCTCCGTTTGTTCGTGACTAAGCCTATATATTCTCTCTCTCGACTCTTGTTTCACGTCTCACATCTCAATTAGGGTTTCGTCTGCTCGTGAAAGAAAGAATGGTGAAAAGAGGAGGAGGTACGAAGAGGAAGCCTGATATGAAGAAGATCGCATACAAAGCTTCGCGAGCCACAACTTTCTCAAAACGCAGAGATGGTCTCTACAGCAAAGCGGCCCAGCTTTGCGTTATCTCTGACGCTCAAATCGCAATCTTAGCGTCTTCAAACTCCAACGCTTCTTTCTTCTCCTTTGGTCATTCCTCCGTTGAATCTATCGTCTCTGCTTATCTATCCGGAAAGAGACCTCCTCCTGTTTCGAGTGATACCAAAGCGACGAGAGAAGACCTAGGTATATGTATGGCTCGCATGAATCTAGGGTTAGGGTTTTGGTGGAACAACAAGAAACTTGTCAATTCTAAGAATAGGGAAGAGATTATGGAAGCGATGGAGTCAATGGAAGTACTCATGAACCATCTCAAGGCACTGAAGGATCAAACCCTAACAACAACGGTGGACCCTAACAACAACGGTGGAGGACGAGGACAAGGTTGAGATTTCAACTGATCACTTGGACGAATGGAGCGAGATGGAATTTACTCAACTCCTCCAAGATTGTGATGATGATGCAGTACCACCGCCTGTTGTTATATTCTGAGAAAACTTGCAACAACAACTCTGTATCATCATTACCTCCTGCAGAAAGAAGATTGGAAGATCTTGATTTGGATTCTATTTTTGAAGGTTTGGCATCCTATGATCAGAAGCTCTTCTGGTCTGATGATTTATTGCTCATTTAATTTTGAGGAGAGTATACGTTCGGGTTTGTGTCTGTTCGATCAGTTTTCTCAGATGAGATAAAATTGATCGAACTCAAACCAGTCTGGTTTGTGTCTTAAATGTCTTAATGGAACTCATGTAATAAATTGTTCTTTCAAGTAAAATTTGATTTGTCTACTTACTGTTTTGTTCGTCTTGATATATATCCTTTGCAAAAGTTAATTATGTTCGCTCGCTTATTCAGTAAGAAGTTTTATTAGAGTCGATGAACATCACAGCTTGGGGGAGTAAAGAGGAAGGGGAGAACAACAACAATGTCGATGCAGAGGATTGAGTTTGATAAACAAGTGCGTATAAAGAAGCATAGGCAAGGTCTGTTTGTATTCTTATGACCTTAATAATAGCTTATTCAGTGAACAAACACAGTATAGCCTTCAAAACGTGTTTTTCCATTTCTTCTTTGAAATCAAATTATCATAGGTATAAGCGTTAGCAGATCAGAAGCAGAGATGCGACCTCTTGAGGTTGCAAGATATGTTGTGGTTGGTTCTCAGGAGTCATTGGATTGATTTTTATCTTTTTGAGTAAACAAGGATTTAAGTCCTCAAAAATCCGTTTTGTTGTGCTTTTTCTATTCCATAGGTTCAAAAGAGAATAGCAAAGATTGTGACTTATGTTAGGTCTTGCCTATATTTCCTTGTGCAGGCCAGGCTACGCAAACCTTACAGCAATTACACTGTCGTCTACATGAGTACTTTTGGTTCTGTTAGCCCAATGCTTAGTTCTTTTACATCATACTTGGGTTTGAGAGTTAATTCCATATTATAAAGTTTTGGTGTATTTTGTGAAAGGATCCGGCCTACTTTAGACTAAATTAACATTCTATATTTTTAGTATCTGTTTTTGGATATAAAAGCTGAAAAGATTTATTTTTAGTAAACCATAGGTCAAAACTTCAATTATTATATACAGTAAAACTGTAAATTAACAATATCAGAAATATAATATTTTATTGGTTTATAGACTTATTAATTATTATTTTTAAATTCGACCAATCAACCTTTTACACAAAATATGATTGGCTCAAGTAATATGTGATTGCAATGTAAAAATTACATGTTCTATGATTTATGGATTAAAGTTTATGTTTGTAGACGTTTAGATTTATTTTAGGGTTTAAGGTGTAGGTTTAAAAGTTTATGGTTTATTTTAGGGTTTAGTGTTAATGTTTCAAAACAAAAATAGCGTATAGGTTTCAAAATCTATTAAACAACCGAGTAAATAATTTCAGAAAGAGAATATACCAAATAAATATATCCCTTTAACGAATGCTAAACACTAATATTTCTTCAACATATTTGTATTTTAGTTAAATACTATGTTTAAATTATTAATTCATACTCAAGGAAGTTTCACATTCTAATTTTTATATATAACTAATTGAGATCTCTTCTTAATAGAGTACATTTTATCTTGCCTACTCTCTGTATTTTTATGCTCTTCGTTCATGTACTAATCATTAATATCTAATGCAGATTAATCTTGAATACACTGAATACCAAACACTTGAAAATATAATTGATAATGAAGTGAATATTCTTTCCCTTCTAACATAGTTTTCTTAAGATGGTCAATATTGCCGTCACCAAGCTGCAATTGTCATATTTTACAGATTTATATTTACCTATATCGTGATTTGTATATTCATGTAGAAGCAAATGAAACATGATGTTAGTATACAAGCAAATGCAAAATTTATGATACTACAAACGAGGAGCAAATAAAGAAGAAACCAATTGATCATAAAAGTGAATACTCATAAGTATATTATATATTGCTCTTTATACTTTTATAATTCAGGGATCATTCTTTAGAATTGACCTATATTTCAGCATCGTATATACCAATATTGTTGTTTTCTATAGTCTTATATATATATCATTCTGCGCAACAATGATCGTGGCCCATATGTTTTTAAAAGTTATGGAGAAACATATCACGTCATATGTGATAGCTTAGCCGAAGATGGAGATACTCCAAGATGATTTCAGCTCTACATATAGTGTGTTGTGAATTACATTTCAGTTCTGACTGTAAAGCACTACAGGAGTTAAAAAATAGGTGGGAATTTTTTTTACTTCTAGCTGCTCCACAAGTTTACCAATCAAGTAAAAAAATTATTTATGTCTTTTACTCTAGTTACTATTTAGATAGAGTAAAATGTACACACAACTTTACTCTCACATACATAAGAGTAAGTATATTTACTCCAATTTCTTCTCTTTTCCAGTTTTATTTTTTCTCCTTTTTCATCTATTTATTTTTATCCCATTTACTCTCGGATATCCTGTCATGCTTTTCATATGGGAAAATTATTATGTTCATCTATTATTCTTTCTCTCTTTTTTAAACTAATACTAAAAGGTTACTTGCCAAAGATGTTGTGTATTCAAAGTACCTTTACTAATAAATCGCTATTACAAGACCATCGATTTGTAATCTCCATTCATCTTAATATTACATGTGTAAAATGTTACTCAGCTCAAACTATGACAGACTACATAAGCAATGTATTCCATTTTAGGGGTTAGTTCAGTATAAGGTTTTAATATGTATTTTTAGTTTTCATTGAGTTATAGCCACGTAACCAATTATACCAGTTTCACACTGATGTGATGACCACTTTAAAAGGATATTAGGTGATTGTACGTAAATTTACAGATATAAATAATTTTTAATTTTAAATCTAATATAATACTTTTATGTTTTTGGCATGCAATATTATATTTTGATATTTTAAGATTGAATTAAATTTTTGATGGATAATTTTTAATAAAAATAATTTATTTATTAGTACTTTTAAAAAACTTAGATATGATTTATGTAGGTATTTAGTTAGATTTTCTACATCTTTTAGAAAAAATATCATTAAGTTTTTTTATCAACAAATTTATATGGCTAATTAAAATCTCGTCTATTAAGAATGAATGTATTTTTATAACGTTGTCTTCTAATATATATAGTTTAATTGGTTTGGAAATCAAAATTTTCATCCATAAAAATTATTAAAATCCAAAAACATGTACGCATGTGACAAATAGATTCATGCTTACAACTAAAGTATAATAGACAAAAATTATTAAAAGTAATAATTACAATATGTATATATATATATATATATATATATATATATATGTATACGAGGATATAGGATATATAAGAATACTTTAATCTTATTTAAAAGTGATAACTCACCTATAATATCACATTGTCACTGAAAATGATTAAACAAATTTACAATTATATATTTGACTGGTTACATTCATTTGGCATATTTTTTTGAATATATATATATATATATAGTGAATAGAAATGTTATTAGGTTTATATTAATTAGTTTTCTGCAATCTATGATTTATTGTATCCACTGTAAATATAACATATTTAAATATTTTTAATATCATATGTATTTTTATAATGTAATGGATGATAATTAATTGTTTTAATAAATAAATTAGGCTAATTCGTTTATATTTAAAATTTCTGATTGTTTATTTGGTAACATTGAATAGATTTGGTAATCATATAATTAGTTTTCTTGTAAATTGTTTTAATTAAATAAATAAAAAGTCAAATACCAACAATTAATCAAATTAAGAAAATTAATTCTAAACTTCACCTATGTGTGACACATAAGTAAAAGTTAATAAAGTGACTTCTAAATTAATTTATAGTGGGATTATTTATTTTTATAATTACAATTTTATTATTTGTAAACAATCCAGCCAATGCAAAAACAACGCCTACAGAAAAGTATCTTTTTCATTGTGGAAGTACCTCCATAAACGATCGATTCTATTGTTTTGTTGTTCACTCTTGCTTTTTCGATATATCTTTTTTCTTTTATCATGAGAAACCAAGCATGGTTAAACCAACCATAATCGTGCCTAACATGGTTGAGCTTAATAAGGGAACTGTATGTTAAAACTTGAAAACTGAATTGATACAAACGGATTAATAAAAATGATAATTACATGAAATAAACAAACCGAAACGAAATGAACCGATTACGAAAATGTTTTTGAAAATAAATCATGGAGTCATGACCAATTTCTTTCCTTAACTATTAATATTCACTTTGTAAGTGCGACATATACTGCGAATAGAAATCTGATATATAGTGTTTTTGACATTATTGTATATATGTTTTCTAATTGGTTTTCAGGTCTTTATCGAGTCTTCTTAGTCCTTTACGAGTTATTACAGGTTTGGAGCTGCATTGGATAGGAAATGAACCAGTTGGAGCAAAAGATGCAGAAAAAATTGTAATTTTGTGATTTTAACGCATAACAGTTTGAAGTGATTGTTCCCGATCGAGCGGAGCAACCCAAGTGCCTGTTCAAGCGGTAGAGATTTTTAAGAAAACTACAAACTATTTTGGGATTTGCTCTAATCTCCCTATTGTTGAGTAGTCGATTTGCTTAGTCTAGGATATTAGGAGGTCATAGATTCATGAGCTAAACAAAAATAAGGATTGATGTTTTGATTGTCTTCATTCATAATTATGTTTACTGCCTGCAGTAAATTAACTATTTAGTGCCTGATAATAGGTTTAATCTAATCATCAAAAGTGCTTAGGCTACTAAAAACAACATGAATGGGCGATTTGTCCCTAACCAGCGAAAGTAGATGTTAGGGCAAATTGTGACCTTGCCGAATCTGGCCTTAATGTTTATCATCTTTCTCTGATTCAAACGACAATATATATATTAAGA